ATCAGAAGGCCTGAGGGCAGCCACCTACCTAAACTAGCTCACAGGAAAAATACTGTGAGAGAGTGAGTATTCCTACACCCCCTGGACCAGCTAAAGGGGAAAAGATTACCTGATCAGCTCTTTACCCGGGGCTGTTCATCTTAACGTGGCAGGCACTGGATCCCCTTGCCCAGGGATTCCTCCAGACAGCTGGGTGAAGAGGTGGATATATCTGGGGTCTGGGGCGGTATACCAGGAGAGGCTGGAGAGCTCTCCCAGAAAAGATTTGCTGTGTAAAGACTTGTGCATAGTTGCTAGGAAGTTGTCCTCAGTTTACTGTTTCTTGGGCATCCCATCCATCCCTCAACCCCATCCAAGTTATTACCCCTAATAAAATCCAAAAAAACAAGTACTGTGTGCTGTCTGTGGAATGCAAGTCTGTGGAAAATATGTGTTGCCTGGCTGTACAGGACCCAAATCTTCAGTGAAAGGGATAGCGTTACATATCTCTACTGAATAATGATGTAGTTGTTGCACAAAATACATGAACACTGTATTCCAAAAAAACTGCAAAAACTCGACAAACTGGTTGTACTGAAGTCAATCGATTAATTGACGTTTAGTACATATACTCTGCCCATAGAAGGGTTGAAATTCAGCTGGTCCCTGCTGCACCAGCTGCATTTTAATCCATCTATGGCCAGCTTTAAATAGATAGATTCAAATTTTTCGGGTTCAGCAGGATGTGTGGCTCAACAGAAGTTGATCTAACTATTGACTTATGTCGAACGGCTTGCTATGTTCTGACAGCAGAGAATCACCACTGTCAGAATTCAATGATTCAGCTGGGAGGATTCCTCCATCCACCTCGATTGTGTTAATAGATGGAAATCTGTTTTTTTTTTTTTCTTCTTTCTTAAGCCCGCTGGCTAAGCAAGAAAAAAATAATCAATCTATAGCCAGCCTTAGGTGAAACTGTATTCACTTCAAACATCCAGTCATTCATCATTATGATTGTGCTGTCTCACTTGCCAAAGGAAGGTGCAGGAGGTAGGAAAGGGTAGACAAGCTTCTGCAGGTTTGCTGTCTAAAACAGCCTCCCATTCAGCCATAAAAGTTGGGTATATCGGCTGCTGTAGATATGCGCCTGTACCTTTGTGTGCCTACACTTTATACACTTTAAGCTTTATACAGCAGTTATTGGTATGACATGTTCTTTTTAAATATGCCTGCTATTATAGGATTGTGTTTTTTATGTTATCACTGACCTCAGCTGAGACTTCCATCTTTGGTTTCTGATTATTCTTTCTCAACCTGCTTGCTAGTAATAAAAATAGAATGAGGTCTGATGCACCCAGTGATTTTGCATACAAAAAGAGGATAAAATGGTAACAAGTTGATTTGTAATAAATCCATATTAATGCATTTCATCCATAACTGGATATATTATTAATCGCATACAATCCAGATGTCAATACATAATTACTTGACGCGCTTCGTGGCTCTTCATTCACTTCTTCAGGAGTAGATGCATGTATAATATCTGCAAGGTAAAACATTAAGTATGTAGCATACATAGTGGTATGCTGTAATATATAAAATAGTTCTAATCTCAAGGGTCACCAGAGGGACCCTAATACTTACAAATCAGCTAAAAATACATATGATGGTGTTTCCAAATGGTGATCGCCAGGGGAGTCTCACCCGGGAGCTGGGACAAGCCAGAAGCAGATTCAAAGTAGGTGGGCAATCATGATGGCACCCAAAGTAATTACTATGGAAAGAAAGTTAGATATACATAATAGTAAGAAATGAATGATCAAATCAAGATGAGTGATAAACAGCAAAAATAACATGCAACGTTGGCTGCAGTATAACAGTGAGTAGGGGGACATATGGTGAGCGAGTATATGAGAGGTGTAAGAGACTGTACCTAGTGGCAGAAGAAAAGGCATCTAGGTCTCAAAGTCTAGTCCTCAGAAAGAGATGTGCCAGTAAAAAGAGAAAGACCACCCAGTGCCTGCTTGTTAGTAAGTTTTAAAAAGGCTAAAACACATACGGGACAATTTACAAAGCGTTATCTTACCCCAACTATGTGTTTTTTAAAATGTTTGTTGACAATCGCTAAAAAAATACTACTAAAATAACATATAATTTATTATTATTATACAGGATTTATATAATGCCAACAGTTTGCTCAGCACTTTACAATATAACGGGAGACAATACAGCAACAATACAGTTCAATATAAGAGGGAAAGGAGGGCCCTGCTCCTTGGAGCTTACAATCTAGGAGGGAGGGGCTAGTGGTAGAAAAGGTAGTAACTGTGGGGGATGGACTGTTAGGAGGAGTAGAAGATTCCATTATTAGGTGAGGGTAGGATAGGCTTCTTTGAAGAGATAGGTTTTCAGAGATCGCATAAATAAAAGTGAGCAGAGTAGGTGATAGTCTGATAAATGGGGTAGAGAGTTCCAGAGGATGGGGGAAGGTCCGGAAAAGTCCTGGAGACGAGCATGGGAGGAGGAGACAAGGGAGCTAGAGAGCAGGAGGTCTTGCGAGGAGTGGAGAGTACGGTTTTGGTGATGTTTGGAGACAAGATTGGTGATGTAATTTGGGGCAGAGTTATAAATGGCTTTATACATTATTGTTAATGTTTTGAATTTTATCCGTTGGGCAATGGGAAGCCAGTGGAGGGATTGGCAGAGAGGGGTGGCAGATACAGAACGGTTAGTAAGGTGGATGAGTCTGGCAGCAGCATTCATGATAGACTAAAGAGGGGATAGCCTGCGATTCGGTAGGCCAATGAGGAGGGAGTTGCAATAGTCAAGGCGAGATATAACAAGGGAGTGAATAAGTTGCTTAGTATTTTATGAAGTCATGCGTTATATTAGTTGTGAAAACATGCAGTATTGTAACGAGTCATCGGCAATCAGTGGGTTTCCCACTCTTTAACAACCATGACAGTTACTGGTTGTTAAGGACACCAGAGCCTGCTCCTTAAAGCGGAGTTCCACCCATTTTTTAAAGTTCCTCTGATTACATGGTTCGTGTGTTGTCCAGCACGATTTGGATAACATTTTTTTTTTTCTTAATGTAAATACTTTAAAATCATATTTCAGGATTGCAGTTCCGGTCCCGGCCGCCTAGGCAATGACGTGTTAAGGCGATTCGCAATGTCTCCTGGGATGTCTTTTCCTATATCCCAGGAGTCCTTTGGGTTCCTAGTGACTGAATATTGCATTACTTCGAAAATGGAAGTGACGAGAATGGGTGGAGTTTGGCGCCATTTTACCTGAGTCCAGTGTGGGAAGGAAGTGTAAGATCTGTGCTGTTCTAATTATTGTTGCGGGTTTGCTCCTTTCCAGACCTCATTTGCCTTCCGCCTGGTGTGATTTGATGGACAGGTTGCCATAAGGGGGCAGGAACTTCCACCGTCCCCACCATTGTTATGGCAACCTGTTCTATACAAGTGCCAAGCAGTGTCAGTACTGCACAGGCGCGAGATCAAGTGGTGCATGCTGTGATAACCAACAGCACCAACTCCAGGAAAAATATCCTTGCGGGCTTCAGATGCCCACAGACATCATGGCGCCTGCCTGCTTCCAAGATCAAGGTAAAGATTTACATATTTAAAATTAATTAGAAGGCTATAACTTATAACTTTATCCAATTGTTAATGTTCTCAAAAAGGCAATCCTGGGTCAACTTTAAAAAAAAATTCTTCTGGGGACTGGAACTCCGCTTTAAAAACCAATACATAATGTATGCCTTGACCATTACTTAATCGCCATTTAATTTTTTGTTTTCTTCTTTGACTTAATTTTACTGTCTTTTTATGTGGTATTTATCGAGTGTTTTTGCTATTTGCACTAAATACTGCATACTGGCAGTAGTGGCTTGACATTTTCAGTATGGCATTCAATATGTGGTCAAATCACCTTTAGTGAATTGTCCCCATAATCAGCACATTTACTATGCTGTGAATGTTCAAGCATCAGGAACATTTCAGTAAATAATTAGAGGGGCTAATACAGCTTTAGATTAAAGGCCATAGACATGAGCCCAAGACTGCAGGTAACAATAAAAATGGTCTTTTTGGTGTAATTCCTTGTATCTCCTCCAGTTTTGTTATAATGTGGTAATGATTGCATTCTTTGTAGCAAAAAATAAAAAATTATTATTCCGCTGAAATAACTGTTTATTAAAATGTCCAGTGACACTTCATATTACAATGCCTCCAATATTGTTCTATCGTGTAAATGCTTTAGTTATATAAATATTCTGGAGTGACTACTTCTGCTGTGCAGAGAAATACAAAGCAGCATGTCCTTGCTGACAGGAGAAAGACCTGTGTTGTTTACACACAGGTCTCTCCCCTGTCAACTCAGCCGACAATCACTGAGTTCCTGCCAGGAATCGCTGTCCAGGACTCGGTGATTGACATGTCCAGGACTCGGTGATTGACATGTCCAGCAGCCAATAGTGGCGCGGGTAGGGTGGTCCCCTACCTGGAAATTTAAATCATGTATATATATGTGACTTTGTACAGCCCTGCCACCCTGTAGCAGTACTTCTGCTATAGGGTGGCGTGAAAGTGGTATGTAAACCCAAGATTTCATATTCCTGATATGTGCCTGCTGTACCATTTACTTGTATGGAAAATTATCCAGTTCTCTTTGTATTTCTTCCTTTGTGTGAAATCCCTGGTGTTCCTGCAAGTCCCTCTGCTTTCCTATTAACCACTTCAAGTCCGGACACTTTTACCCCCTTCCTGTCCAAGCCAATTTTTAGTAAAAAAAAAGTATTTTCTTTAATATTATTATTTATATTTTTGGGCTTTTTTTAACATACTGTCACCCTAGCAGTACAGTGTCACTGTACTACTTGTGGGAGGTGATGAAGATTTTTTTTTTATACTGATTGCTTTTACACCCATAAAGACTGTAAAAGCAATAATTTTCTCCTCTCTGGCTGCATTTTTGCAGCCATTGAGAAATACTGTGAGAACTGTGATTGGTCACAGCTTGTCACATGGTACAAGGTTGTTGTGAATAGCCTTGTACCATGTGACCTCTGTGACCATTCACAGATTTCACACGTAGTAAGCAATGATGTCAGAAGTGACATCTTGCTTACTACTCTGCATGTGATCACTGATTGCCCAATCAGTGATCACACGATCGGGACCTTACACAGAGGTCCCGTACAGCGATCGGTGTTCCGCTGTGTCCTCCGGATCGCAGTGCACATGCTCCCAGAGAGCGCGCAAAGACAGGAAATGCGGGAGGACTTTTATAAACGGCCTCTAGCTCCTGCACTGCTCCTGTCTAGCCGTCTATATACATGGGCCGGACGGGAAGTGGTTAGAAACTGACCACACTAGACATGAGAGCACACCGTGGTCAGTCTTCATGCAGTGCTGGGAACTCAGCCTGCTCTCCTCCAATGCTCAGACTTCTTCTGATACACCTCCCCCAACCCACCTCCCACCTCCCCTGCACAGCCATTTACAGTTCTGCTGTTTCTCCTCCCCTTGCTCTCTGTTCTGAGCAGCATAAGCAGTTTAGAGCGTAGGTGATCACTTATAAAATAGGAAAAAGGGTATTCATAATGTTTTTTGCTTATCTTTTAACTTTTCTATTTATCTCCTAGATTGTAAGCTCGAAAGAGCAGGGCCCTTGACTCCCTCGTGTTTTGTTTTGTTACTGTATTGTCTCATGTTCTGTCCCCCACTATAATGTACAGCGCTGAGCAAACTTTTTAGCGCTATATAAATACTGTATAATAATAATAATAATTTTAAACTGAATGGGTTGATGTTTTACAAGGTGAGGTTTGGCATGTACTTTAATGCTAGTACGGTATATGTTGTCTATTTAATACCAAACATTTATTTACATATTCATTTTAATTCTGTTATTCAGAGTTGAATAATGTACTCTTTTTTTCCCTGATGAGGCAATTCCTGAGTATACCTAATTAGATTAGATAAAATCTCCAACTTACCGTTCAATTATCTTAGCTGCAGGGTGTGGATTGCTGTGCTGTGGAAATCGCTGGTCATATTTTAGCTTGGGGAATTATTTATTAGATCTGGGAAGATGATAGCAAGCTTTTAAGATACACAAGATCTTGAAATGTCTAAAGATCTAAAAATGTGGAAATATTTTGACTAAGAGTGGATTCCCATCCTGCAGAAGATGAAGAGAGTTTTAATAGAGTCCTCTCAGGAACTAGAAGCTGAAAGAAGCCATCTGTCTTAATTAGGTTTATTTGAAAAAACAATATGCAAAGATCAGTAAGCCATAGCAACCACTCATCTAGAATTTTTTATTGCATGATTGCTGCTAAAGTGTATTGAAAGCCAGATCCTTTTTGTGTTGGATAGAGTAAGGGAATGAGAACATCTGTCAGGTTTTTATTGCTGTCTGTGATTCACCTTGGGGCTCATTATCACCTAAGCAGAAAGTGATCGGAAACCAAAATTCTTCAGCTGACACCAAAACAGAAGGTGGAGGTAAATCATTCGACAATGACACCTGCTCTAATGATAACTATCTAATACAGGAATTCCCCACTTTACAGAGATTTCCTTTCATTTTGTGTTTCGTCTTTAGGACGACAAGTGAAGAACCCCCCTAATGGCACAGAGACAGGAAAAAAAAATTTGGCAGGGGTTTTATCCATTCTGTATCCAAAACAAAAAAAGGTTTTGGCTTTAGATTTACTTTAACTATGAAAGGGTGACGTTGGATCGGCTGCCATGGGTTAGTGAGCTTTATACAACAGAGGGCCAGAAGGAAAATCTCATCACTCAGGTCCGCAAAAGATTCAGAAACCTTTGAGCCCTGTCACACTTATCCATTTTTGGGGTAAAAAGCAGAAGAAAAATGCATTAAAAATGTATACTTTTAAATCTCTTCATACCAGGGACCAGTGGGTGTGTTGCGTTTTTAAAACTTCTGCATGCTGCATTTTTTATGCATGTTTAAATATCTCACTAAATGCACCTCCCCATTAAAATGAATTAAAAATACATCAAAAATGCCCTCGTGATGCATTTTTGGTGCATTTTTTGAGTCACTTGTCCAAGTTTCACAGGTGCATGATTGGAGTCAGGAGTCCAGAAAATGCAGCGAAAACACACATGCGTTGCAGCACATTTTTCAACAGAGCAGTGAAAAAGCACCCAAAGGGTGACTTAGCACACCAGATTCCACGAGTAGCTTAGAGGACTACTGTACCTTTTACTAATTTTTTACAATGGCCTCTTCTCCTACATAATACCCCACATGGAAGAAAAATATATTTTAAATATATTTTAAAAATATTCTTCCCAAATATATTAACATATATTTGAAATAGTACAATTTTTGGCCATATTTTAATATATATATAATATTTTATTTATTTATTATGTTGTAATGCGTTTTTTATATATTACAAAATATATAAAAAATATTTTTAAAAATAAATTGTAAAATATACTGTATGTCTTTAAAAATACATTTAGTCTACATTTTTGAAATGCATTTTACAAATATATGTTAAAATGACTTTTTACATGTTAAAAAAAAAATCTGAAGAATATATTTAAAAATAAATTGCGGATATTTTGTAATATATAAAAAACGCATTTCAACATAAAGGATATATATACATATACTGTATATTGAAATATATTTTGAAATATATTGAATACGGACAAAATTGTAGTATTTAAAATATATGTCAATATATTTGGGAAGAATATTTTTAAAATATATTTAAAATATATTTTTCTTCCATGTGGGACAGACCACAGACTAAGCCTATACAGGGCACTTGTGCTGAGTTCCTTAATGCAATGTTTGTTGAAGGAGTACTTTAAATATGCATACACACTTGGGGACAGACATATTTCTCAATACCTACTCAGACTCTGTTTTTAGCCGACCATTAAAAGGCTAAGTTCACCCTCTGAATAAAATTGACCATACAGCCAAGAGGCCCCAGTTCATAAAAAAACACTCTGCAGGTTAGAAACATTTTGCATCATTTAACCTGTTGTCTCGCCTGGTCATCAAATTGCTATGCAGCGGACGGGAACCGGTAAATTTGACAAAATTTTCATTGTTCCCAGAACAAGCCACGCTGCGGGCATGATCTATCGCCAGCTGTGTCCACCAAACACAGCTAATGGCTGATCAGTGTACCGGCCCGCTGCCAGTACCATGTGATCGCTTTGACCAATCACAGCAGATCACATGACAATTGTAAACATTGAATGGCTTTGTTTCATGCAATTCGTTGTTATTATTATTATTATTATACAGGACCTATATAGAGCCGACAGTTTGCTCAGTGCTTTACATTATGACTGTGTTGTTAGCTATGATTAGTCACACTGATCACATGGTACAGGCAGGGCCAATCACAGGACATCTGCACCATGTGATTAGCTGTGGCCAATCACAGATAATCAAAACAAAACAAACTGAATGAACTGATTTCATTCAGTGAAATGCTTGCTTATAGCTTTGGAATTCAATAATATAAGCAGTTATAATGTGTAAAAAAACCATTCTGATCACTTCTCAACAGTAGTACAATATTACTATGGTAACATTATATTACTCTGGTTACAGTGGGTTAAAAAAAAGAAAACAATATAATAAAAAAAGAAAGAAAAATTAAAAATGATTACATTTTTTTTTCGGACTCTCTACAGTCAGTGTGATCACCGCCACACCAATTATATGATGACGCTTTACTGCACTGGTGACAGTATATAAAAAAATAAATTTAAAATTTTTTTTTAATTTCTCCATTTTCCAAAAAATTATGACAAAAAATTACAACTTCAAAAAATTTGCCATGCCTCTTACTAAATACTTTGGACTGTGTACTTTCCAAAAAGGGGTCATTTTGTGGAGTGTTTGTACTGTCCTGACATTTTTTGGGCCTCAAGAAATGAGATAGGCAATCATTACATCAGAATTGGTCGATTTTCAGATATATACCATAGTTTACGGACTCTATAACTTTCCTACAGACTAAATAATAAACACTGATTTGGGTTATTGTCACCAAAGATATGTAGCAGAATACATTTTGGCCTAAATTTATGAAGAACAATTATTCATTTGCAAAATTTTATAACAGAAATGAAGAACATGTTTTTTTTTTAAAAATGTTTTGTTTATTTAGAAAAAAATAAAAAACCCAGTGGTGATTAAATAGCACCAAAATAAATCTCTATTTGAAAAAAAATGATAAAAATTCCACATGGGTAGAGTGTTGCATGACTGTGCAATTGTCATTGAAAGTGTGACAGTGCTGAAAGCTGAAAATGGGTCTGTGCAAGAAGGGGGTGAAAGTGCCAATATTGAAGTGGTTAAATGTCATATCTGTAGGCTATATGAGGAGGCACCCCCAAAGCCTGGTGAGTGAACTTCTATTTTAAGCAAACAGCTCCATCTTGCCCTGGAGCTTGGGCATGCCATACATTACAGCTCACCCCCAGCATCACAGGAGTGCGCTACCTCCAGGGTGGACTGACCATTTGGAAACTGCCCGAGGGCCCAGGGCCATAAGATGCCCCTGGTACCTTTTTCATAGGATTTTTTGAGTTTGGGCAAGGACACAGGGGCCCCATAATCCCCTATTGCCCGGGGCCCCATGAGTTGTCAGTCCACCCCTGGCTACCTCCCTCATTCAAAACCTGTGCATGCACAGTGCACTCAGCATAGGGTGTACCGTACATTCTCGGCAGGACGGGGTTGATCACATACAATGGGAGTTTTTAGGCCAAACTTTGGGAGGTTGCTCATGTGTAATATGTGTGGCACTTAAAGCAAGCAAATTATTTCTAAGCTGCAGAGTGTTTTTTTTAACCTGCTGGGATCCCTTGACTGCATAGACAGTTTTATTCAAAAGGTGAAGGTGAACTTAGCCTTTAGTAATGATGCATTCCTTGATGACTGACATAGTGGGGTTGATTTACTTCAAACTGGAGAGTGCAAAATCTGGTGCAGCTCTGCAGAGAAATCAGCTTCTAGGTTTTTATTGCCAAAACCTACTTGAATAACCTGATGTTAGAAGCTGATTGGCTACCATGCACAGCTGCACTAGATTTTGCACTCTCTCTCGTTTTAGTAAATCAACCCCACTGAGTGCTCCCTAAGGCTAGGTTTACATCTGTGTGCATGAAAATCCATGCAGCTGCACCACCTGCACAGAGAAATGAGGACCCGCGGGCGGGTGCCATTAGTTCTAATGGCACGCCGCCCGCACTGGGAAAAAAACTGTACTGGGAACCGAGGTTCCCATGCGGGCTGCGTTTTCAGAAGAAGTGCAGGGGCTTCTTCTCTGCGTGTCAGTCGGCATGAGAGCCCATTCAAATGAAAGGGCCCTCATGCCCTCGCAAAACGCAGCCCGCACAGCCGCATATATGTGAACCGAGGCTTACTAAGTCCCTTTTCACATGAGGCGGAACCCTCAGCAGATCTGTCTGTTGATCCCCGCTGAGCAAGTGGATGACAGGTCCATGTTCACTCTGCTCATGCAGAACTGACACAGACACTGCCTGCTGTCCTCCATGGGTGGTCAGATGGAAACCGATTGCCTGTCCATTTCCATTCGACTGCCATCTGACAGACGGGGAACGCCTTTTTGGCAGATCGGATCAGATGTCTGCAGGTATAAACGGACACATATCCGTTCACACTCGCCGCTCCATAGAGGAGAATAGAGGTTTCGATTGGGTCCGCCTGAAAAACAGGCAGGCAGATCAGATCAAAACATTCATGCGAAAGGGCCCTTAAGGAGCTGAGAAGGTTCACTCAAACTTTGTGTGAATATTTACTTCAATTATCCAATCACATGAAAAGCAAATTCATGTTCACTATAAATGTGCAGATGCTTTTCACATGATTGGATAATTGAATTGAATATTCACACAATTTTGGAGTGGAGATTTTCAAGCTCGTTAGTAAATTAGCCCAATTATCTCAACAGATGTTCAGAGAGGGACAGAATAATTCCTCTGTGGCCACTCACTCCAGATGTTAATTTGCAAATCTTTATATTTTAAAGATAACTCAGCAACATAGGGGATTGATTTAATAAAACTGGTGCACTCAGAATCTGGTGCAGCTGTGCATGATAGCCAATCAGCTTTTATAACTTCAGCTTGATCAGTTGAGCTTTGACAATAAAACCTGGAAGCCGATTGGGCAAACTAGGCAGAAAAGAAATCCACTGCCATGGTGTCCTGGAGCAGCTGCAATTTGGCAGAAGAAACACTTGAAACTTGTAAACGTACGTAAACAGGTCTAGACGCATTTAGGCATGTCAAGCGCTTGGAAGTTAATTAATTTAATTGGCCAGAATAATGATTTATTCTGGCCATTGAAATGAATTAATGCATCAAGTGTTTTTTTTTCTGCCACTGCTCCTGGACGCACTGGCAGTGGATTTATTTTTTCTGAAGGAAAAAAAAGGTCAGGCACCCCTAACAGCAGCATTCAAATGTTTAGTGTATATTGAACCTAACATCTATAAAGGAGGTACACTTTCAGAGTTAAAGTAACAAACTTGGCCACTTGTTGCAAAGGTGCCTGTAGACTTGCAAAGCTCATTGTCAGATTACTTAGATTTCAGTGTGCTATTTAGTGGTGTACCGAAATCAAAATTCTGGTGCCAAAACCAAAAATTCAAAATGCACTTGGCCAAAAACCGAAACCAAAACCAAAATGCGCAGTTTTTAAGAATGATGATAAATTTTTTGAAATAATTACACTTTGATAAAAAAAAAACAAAAAAAAACAATATATACCCCAATTTTTTTGTATAATATGAAAGAGGATGTTACGGCGAGTAAATAGATACCCAACTTGTCACGCTTTAAAATTGCGCACGCTCGTGGAATGGCGTGAAACTGCGGCACTTAAAAATCTCCATGGGTGATGCTTTAAAAATTTCTACATGTTAGCAGTGTAAAGGTACCTCACGTGTGTGGTTTGAACACAGTTTACATATGTGGGCATTACCTAAGTCGTTCACCACTCCGTGCGAGCACAAGTGGACAGGTGCACTTCAAACTTTTTTTTTTTTAAATGTATTTAATATTTTTTGAGGTTTTTTTTACACTGTCTCTTAAAAAAAAAAATTGTATTCACTTTTATTGCTTATCACAAGAAATTCATGCATCCCTTGTAATAGAAATAATTAGTGACAGGTCCTCTTTATGGAGAGATATGGGGTCAATAAGACCCCACATCTCTCCTCTGCAATGTAAAGTATTAGATAAAAAAAAGCATTGATCTAGTGCTTTAAAAAAAAAATGTCCGGAACGGGAAGTGCCATTGCTCCGCTCTTCCAAGGGCATAGAGATGAGTGGCGGCCATCTTTCCTTTACTCATCTCTATGCCCAGCGCCAGGATCGATGGTTTCTCAGGTAAGGCTGAGAATTATGGATCGTGGTGGCGGCAGTGGCGAGGGGCGGGCGGCGACGGCAGGAGGGTGACGAGGAGCGGGTTTTTTTTTCAGCACCTGTATCGGTGCTTTTTTATTTCGCTCAATGGCCAGAAGGGGTGTTTTTGGTTGAAACATTTTGGCCACCGAAATTTCAGTGCATCCCTAGTGGTAATTCTATAGAAACAAACACAACATGTAATTTTTGGCCCCAATGTCAAGACATTTATCAGACATTTTATTACTGTGAAATAGAGGTTTCAGCTTATTTGGCAAAAGTTATCCCGTTAGATTGTTTAGGTGATGGATATGTTTTATCTCTTATGCTCTATAGATGAGATCTCCCAGCCAGATATTCCAAATGATTCCTCTTTCTTACATATTCTAGCTCCAAGTGGTCCTTGGTCACTGATCAATCTGCACCTGAAATCCTAATGTAATCCTAATGTAAAAAAAAAAAAAAACAGATTTGTCATTACATCTTAAAAGGTGAAGTTCTGCTTTAAGGCTATGTCCCCCCCGTTAAGCTTTGGCACCTTTGTGGAGGCCGGTACCTAATTTTGACAGGTACCTGCTCCCACTTCCGCTGTAATCACCAAGGTGATTGGAAGCAGAGGTTCTTTTCACCCCCCCCCCCCCCCCAGAAGACTGCAGGACCATTCCATTCACAAGGTGCAGCGTGCTTTGCGCATGCACAGTGAGCACCTGGCTATGAAGTCGCTAGCTCTTACAGTGCCCACACTAAACATGCTAGTGCCAAGGCAGAAGACGGCTGGTGAACCCGGCTAAGGTGAGGACACCGCTGGATCACAGGACAGGTAAGTGACTGTTTTTTAAAAGTCAGCAGCTACAGTTTTAGTAGCTGCTGACTTTTATTTTTTTACATCGGAGACTGGACCTCCGCTTTAAGTTACTACAGCATCATTCAGCTGCAAGCCAAACAATGCATTCATGCTGTGCACAGTGAAGTCATTTCTCCTTAACAAAACAAAAACTGAAGCTATA